TATTTTATTGATTTTTTTTTTTTTTACAGAGAGGAAGGGAGAGAGAGAGAAAGCTAGAAACATCGATGAGAGAGGAACATTGACCAGCTGCCTCTTGCACACCCCTACCAGGGATGTGCCTGCAACCAACATACATGCCCCTGACCGGAATCAAACCTGAGACCTTTCAGTCCGCAGATCGACGCTCTACCACTGAGCCAAACCAGTTTCGGCCAAAGTAAAGATTTTTTAGCAAGACCCTCTTCATTGGTTTTCTCTTTCAAAAGTGTCTGAACTTCTAGTCTTGTATACTTACTCTTCTCTGTCTAGCATTAACTTCTTACAGACTATAAAAACTCCTGGAATTTTACTCAGGCAAAGAATTTCCAGATTAATTTATGAAGAATTGACATATATTTATTATTGTCAACTCTTCCCATAGTACGGTGGTCAGCAAACTCATTAGTCAACAGAGCGGCAAACCACGGCTCCAGAACCGCATGTGGCTCGCGAGCCGCAGTTTGCCAACCACTGTCTTAGTAGTTTTTTTAGTAGTTTTGTAGTAGTTTTTTTAGTAGTTTTTTAGTAGTTTTTGTGTGTGTTTTTTTCAGGTCTTCTTTTATGTTTTCAGTAAAGTTTTATAGTTTTTTTAATAGACATTTTAGCTCTTTTTAAGTTTATTCCCAACTATTTTATAATTTTTGTAGCTAGAGTGAGTTGAATCTTTTCTCCTCCATTTCATTTTCCAGCTTTTAATTACTACTAGCTGGATTTCCATCGCTGCATTCTAACAACCAGAGAATCGATTTGGGATTAATGTGTCTTTCTCCTCATGGTGAAACTCCAAGGATGAAAATTAAAGGAGAGTGGGAGGAAAAGCACATATTTGTTTTAATTTACATGAATGATATTGTACTGTAGATCTTGTCTGTTTCTTGCTTCCTTTCCACTTGATACCATTAAATATGATGTTTGCTCTAAGTCTTTTTATAGATACCTTTGATTAGAGAAATCCCACTCTATTCATAGTTCTCTAAGTTGTTGTTGTTGATTCTTTGTGTGTCTGTTGTTGTTTTTTTAAACCTCACCCAAAAATATTTTTCATTCATTTTTAGAGAGAGTGGAAGAAAGAGGGAAAGACAGAGAGAAATACCGATGTGAGAGAAATATCTCAACTGGTTGCCTCCTGCATACGCTTCCCCCATCCCCCACCCCCGACTGTGGAGAAGCCTGCAACTTGACAGGAATCGAACCTGGGACCTTTCAGTTCCTAGGCCAATGTTCTATCCACTGAGCCACGCTGGCTAGGGCTTGTTATTAGTTTTTTTGTTTTTGTTTTTTATCATAAGTAGGTATTGAATTTTACCAGGTCCTTTTTCTGCATTGATTGGCATAATCATATAATTTGTTCCTCTTAAATCTCTTCACTTTGATTTTCTAATTTTAAACCATCCTTGCATTCTTAGGATAAAGCTCAACTTGGTTATGACATATCATCATATATTGCTGGATTACGTTTGTCTAGGATTTTTACCCCTATTTTCACATCCCGTGTCATACTTTCATTGGCTCATTATAATAGTTATATTGGTCTCATAAAAGTTTGAAGAGACTTTTTTCTTTTCCGTCTATGATTGGAATTACCCACTCACTAAAGATTTGGCACAACTAGTCTATAAAGTCCCCTGAGCTTGGTCTTTTTGGGAGGTAGATTTTAAAAATATATAGTCAGTTTCTTTGTGGTTCTAGAGGGTCTAGCCAGGTTTTCTGTTCCTAGAGTCAGTTTTGGTAAGCTGTTCTTTTTCTAGAAATCTATTCCTTGTGCTTATGTTTTCCAATTTACTGACATACAGTTTTGCATAATATCCTTTAAAAACGTATCTGGACAATCTTTGCGGAGAGTCACTGTGGTTTCCTGCTTCAACAGTGCTTGGGCAGAACCTGGAGCTTGAGCTATCCCAGCCAGCTGCCCAGATCCAGCCTTCTGCCACCTCCTCAGAGTGCCTGCCCTCGGACAGCCCCAAGGCTCCTGACACTACTTTAACACTGTGCGGCAGACTCTCCTCAGCTGCCCACCATGAAGACTGGGTCCACCTCACAGGTGCACCAGAACTACCACCAGAGCTCAGAGGCCACCATCGACCGCCAGATCAATCTGGAGCTCTATGCTTCCTACATCTACCTGTCCATGTCTTACTACTTTGACTGTGATGATGTGTCTTTGAAGAACTTTTGCCAAATATTTTCCTCACCACCTCATGAGGATAGGGAACGTGCTGAGAAATTGATGAAGCTGCAGAACCAGCGAGTTGGCCGAATCTTCATTCGGGATATCAAAAAGCCAGACCATGATGACTGCGAGACTGGGCTGAATGCAATGGAGTGTGAATCACACTTGGGGAAAAGTGTGAGTCACATCACTATTGGACTTGCACAAACTGGTCACTGACAAAAATGTGTGTGACTTCACTAAGGCTCACTACCTAAATGAACAGGTGAAATTCATCAATGAATTGGGTGACCACGTAACCAACTTGAGCAGGTTGAGGGAGCACATCCTGGGAGACAGTGATGAGAGCTAAGTCATAGGCTGGCTTCCCGTAGCCATGGGAGTGACCTCCCCGGTTACCAAAGTAGCACGTGCATGTCAGAGTTACCTTTACCTTCTCTATAACTTGTATCAAATCATCCATTCATGTCTTTCATTTGTACCATTCCTTCAAATGAAGTAATTTGGTACCCCCCCCAAAAAAAAAACACGTATCTGTGTTGTCAGTCATCTATTGTATAATCTATTGTATCTATAGTTTATGTTTCCTTTTCTTTTCTAATATACATAATTGACTTCTCTCTTCTCTCCTTATATCTAGCTTTTTAAAAGGTTTGATTTTGATTTCAGCTTTTCAAAGAATCAACTTTTGTGTTCTCAATTCTATCACTTGTTTCTGCTTCATCAATTTCTGCTCATCTCATTTTTCTTCTGTTTTCTAGCTTTACTATGCTTTTCCTTTTATAGCTTCTCAAGTCGAGTGTTCAGCTTGCTGATTTGTTGACTAGTTGACCCAACCACCTACTCAACATCTCCACTTGCACATCGTAGTGAAAGGCATACCTTTACTTAGTTGCTTAGGCCAAAAACTCCTTGTTTCTTCTCTTTCTTTATGCCCCACAGCCAATCCTTTCTGCTTGATTTTGAAAATATAGTTTGAGTCTCACAGTTTCTCAGAACCTCCACTGCTACCACTCTAATTAAAGTCACTATCATTTTTCCTAGACTGTTGTCAGAGCTTGACTGGGCTCCTGCTCCTAATGTTGTCCTAGCACAGGTAGTTCTCCATGCTGCACTTAGGACATAGATCTGATTATGTCAGCTGCACCAAGTTCAAAATTACAAAGGGGTTTCTCATCTCAGAATAAGCTCCCAGTTCCTGTGGTTGCTCCAGCTTCCTTTCCAACTGCACACTCCAGCCCTCTCTAGCCACATAAGCTTCCTTGTTAGCCCCCCAAATGCCAGACATAATCTTCCCTCAGGATATTTGAATTTGCCTGAAATGTTCTCTCCCCAGATGTTCATATGGAAGAATAAAATGAGGGCAAAAGCCTGTGGATATCTATAATATTTTAAAAATATATTTTTATTGATTTCAGAGAGGGAGAGATAGAAACATCAATGATGAGAGAGAATCGTTGATCAGCTGATCGAGCCCACAGTCCTTGATCCTAATTGAACCTGGGACCCTTTAGTCCGAAGGCCAACGCTTTAGCCACTGAGCCAAACCAGCTAGGGCTGAATATCTAAATAACATTCCCTGCACCCTTGTTTTATCTATCTCAAATCCCTTATCACTATGTGACATTATTTGTATGTTTAGTATGAATCTTCCATATAATGTTAGTTTCCTGTCTTGTTCAGTACTGTGCACCCAGAGCCTGGAACAGTGCCTGGCTGTTTAATAAATGAATGGATTGGCGCCAACTCAGAATCAGAGGGTTCCTCATTAATCATAGAACTAGCACAAGCACTGGATGAATTGGATGATGGCTGGAATCAGAGTAAGGTCGCTTTGACAAACAGTCTTGTCCCGAACACTCCATTGGTTAAAACTTTTCTCACACTCTTAAATATTTTTACAAAACAGAATTGCTGGACCTTAGCTCCCAAATCACCTCTTCTAGGAAGTCTTCCCTTTCCCCTCCAGGCAGAGCTTAGTCTGTTCTCCTGTGATCCCATTGCCCCTTCTTCACACCTCCACCAAACCATCTGATCCAACAATGTCATGTGTCATGCAGCTTGGCATGTACCCTCTTCCCCCATGAGAGTGTTTCACCAAAACCAAGACCAAGGCTGTGATTTGTTGTCAGCTTATTCCCTGCCTCTATGAGAGCGAGACTCATGGCAGGGTCGGGTGAAAGAATGCAATGGGCCTATTAAATCAAGGTCCCTTAGCTGGATCAGGGCCCAGGACATGCAACTTTGCTGCTTCTACTGAAGGTGATGGGATTTAGGGAAAGTGGGTGCAATGGAACACTTATTGCAGCGTACTAGGTGCACTTGTGGACAGCATGTCAATAGCCAGGGAGGGCCGCAAAACCAGGAGTCTAGAGCCTAGGCCTTCAATTGCCCCAGCATCCGCAAGGGCCCATTAATCCTTAATATTCAAATTCCGCCCACTAAACCAGCCCCTTCGTGCCAAAGCCACCTCTCTTCACCAAATGATGGCCAATGGCAGCCAATAGGCAGCTGGACAGGGTACCCGCCCCCTTTTCCCTGGCCAGAATGGACACAAACTCCCGCCAATTGGTCGCGTCGCCGCCGAGGCCCCGCCCCTCCCCGGCCATCGCACCCAATCGCGAGCGGGCTCGCTGCGGGGGGCCGGGGGGCGGGACGCAGGCGCGCAGGTGCAGCTGCGCGCATGCCGGCCGGGAGGGCGGGGCGCGACGTCGGCCGTGCGGGGTCCCGGCGTCGGAGGCGCGCGCTCCCTCCTCTCGGAGAGAGGGCTGTGGTAAAAGCCGTCCGGAAAATGGCCGCCGCCGCCGCTGCCGCGCCAAGCGGAGGAGGAGGAGGAGGCGAGGAGGAGAGACTGTGAGTGGGACCGCCGCAGCCGCGGGCGGGGACCCTTGCCGAGGGGCGGGGGGTAGGGGCGGGACGTGGCGCGGGAGGGGCCCGCGGGGTCGGCGACACGGCTGGCGGATGGCGTCCCTCCTCTCTACCCTCCCCCTCCCTCCGCCGCCGGTGACGGGCTCCCCCCGGCCCGTCACCCACACTCGCGGGTGTCCGTCCTCGACGCGGCCTCCCCGGGCCGCCTTCGCCTGGCGTCCCGCTTCCTCCCGCCACCGGCGCGCATCCCGACCCCGAGCGCCATGGGCGCCTCTTTCGCCAGAGCTTCACTTGTCCGGGCTGCGTGTGCGTCGTGCCCTTCTAGGGGCTTCGGGCCCGCGGCACCGTCGCGCGCCCGCGGCCCCGGCCTCTCCCTTCCTCGCGCTCTCCCCTCTCCCTTCCCTGCGCGCCCCCTCTCCCGTTACTCGCCCCCCCCACCGGCGCGCGTGCGCAGTCCGTCTCCTGTCGAGAGAGTGCGCCACAAGGGCTCCTGCGCTCTCACCCCCATCTCCAGGCTTTGCCTCCCCCTCCTTCTCGCCCATTCCATGAATTTCTGCCCCCGTTGCGAGCGAGTCGTCCACCATCTCCTTTCCTGTCTAGCAGGACCAAGTAGGTGAGAATTATTGTCAACCCGCAAAAGGAACTAGATATTGTGCGTCTGGTCCCACAACTCATCATAAAGAGGCTGTTCTAGTTCCCATCCAGAGCCGTGGGTAGGGGATTGCGTGTCCGGCAGCACCTGAGGCTCTTCTGTGTAAGGAGTGCCCCCGGGGTCTTTGGGGGGGGTGCTGTGGCCTCGGAATATGAGTGCCCTTCCATCCTCCCCCTTTCGCCGGCGATCTTCCAGTTACATAAGTGGAATGGGACATAGTATGTAACGGGCTCCCATGGTCTCGGATCGCGAAGATCACCCAGTACCAGATGGGGCAAGTTCATCTCATCGCTGTGGTTCCTGTCACTTGTCCCTGAAAGTTGATTTTCTTTCTAGTTTGGTTATGCCTGAATCACCCAAACTGAGACTCAGGTGACTTGTGCGTGGCGATGTGTCTGTGGCTTTGCACTGAAGACTTACGGGGTCATTGTGAAAAGTCTTAAAAAGGGTGCTCTTACAGAGGAGACCGTGTATGACATTGCTAAGTATGGCCCCGGGAAGGGGAAGCTTGCTCTGGAATATCTCTGTGGCAGTCGCCTCTGTTGTGTGTTCGGTGTGGATTGGTCACAGCAGAAATGGGCTCCACCACAACATTGATATTCCTGACTCATGGTCAGGCAGATGTGTGCTTCTGGTTATTTTTCCAGGAACAGGAATGGGCTTTGCAGAGCTCTTCACATGTTGTGTCTGCTGTGTTCACACGTTGTGTCTGCTGTGTGGGATCAGTATCCTAAATAATGAGATGATAGGATCAAATTCAGGGGGTGGTTGGTGATCGTGGAGCCAAACCGTGTGTGTTGCTAAGTGGCTTAGACTTTGTAGAACTCTCACAAGTTGTGGGCGTAGTAGAAAAAACGAAGCATAGTCGGACCTCGGTAGTAAAATTCGCTGTTAAGAGGGGAATGTATTACTTTAGAGGAGAAATTTGGGGTTTGTGGCTGGCATTTTCATCTGGATCACAGCAACTGCAGTAAATAACAAGATCAAGATCGAGCTGATCTCTTGGGTCGTTTGAAATATGTTGGATCCTTATGAAAAATGCAGGGTCTGGATTTTTAGGTCTTTGGGGAATTTCCCTCTGGGATTCAGGGAAATGGGATTTTTTAGGACTTCTACTTAAAATCCTAGCGGGAAAGCCTAGGAAACACTTCCTTTCAAAGGGCACAATCAATCTCGTACAAGTACAGTTGATTAAGTCGCTAGAGAGCACCCATTTGTAGCATGTCAGCGAGGTGGCTGATCCCTGAGGTACATCCTATCCATGCACACAGACACACAAGCCTCACTTGACTAAGATTCCAAAGAATGCACTTCTAAACCTGAGATGTGACCGGACAAGGGCTCTGCTTTGTTTTGCCATTGTTGGCAATGTGTTCGACTCCTCAGACCGCTCCAGCTAGTTGTTTGTTATGCCCCCAGCCAGCCCTTCAAACAGCACAGGCAGCATCCAGAATGCAGTTTCTCTGCAAAGTTCCTGGTGGCATTTGAAGTCAGCATGTCCTAACAGCTTGAAGGCTTTCTTGCTAGTACTGGCTTATCACACTGTCCTATTTCTTGTTGTTACAAATTTGCCTGGAATGCTTTAAACCTAGAGTACTTTGTTGCACCTGACAGAGCATGATGCAGTCAAGTCCTACTGTTTTTGTGTCGGTGGGGGTTAAAATACAAGTTTTATATTCTATTTGCAGTTTCTAACCGGAGTCATTGTTTCCCTGTCTGCCCTGCCTCTGAGTGGCCGAATCGAGTGGGGTGGGGAGGCGAGCCGTGGTGTTTGACAAAACTGGCTGGATGACTGCAGTATTATGTTGCCCCCACCCAAATGTTCCTTCCCCCACATAGAGATTTAATGAGAAGCTCGCTTCTTTAACTTAGAATAAAGAAGAGCAGAGGTGAAATTGTTAGTCCCCGTCTCATGGCCGGTTTCCACCGCTAATGTACCTGCCGGGGACTATTTGCATGATAAATGTGTCCTGAAACTAGTAATCTTTTATAAAGGTGAATATCGGTGGAAATATTTAAATGGCTAAGAGCAGTTTGCTGGCAGGTTGCCTGGGTATCTGTGAGGAGGGGAGAATCAGAGGAGATAGATGACGTTTGTAGTAACTAGTGTTTTGAACGCACGGGGGTAAAGCACAGTCCTAGACTGGCGGCAAGTCCCAGGGAGTTTGGCAGGACACTTGCCTGTACTCACTGCCCTCTGTTATGGTGACATGAGACCAGCCTCCTCCAGCCCACAGGCACAACCTTTTTTCTTGGGTACAGCATTATTGCCGCCCCAGTGGAAGGACCTTGTCCTCGATGCTTCTGTACATCTGTACCAGCCGTGTTCAGGCAAACTGCCATTGTCACCACCGTGCTTCTACCTTGTTTTGGTTATGACAGACAGATGTAAATGGGTTCCTCTCATTTGGGCTCACTCACACAAAGGTTGTGCTCCTCTGCCTTTTACCTGCGCTCTTCTGTCTTTCTCTCGCAAGGATCCTTTTCCTATTGAAAACCTGACTTGCATGCCATTGCTTAAAAACTTGGTTCCACCACTTGGATGGGAGGTATGGTGTGTAGGGGACCTGCGTGGAAATGGGTATTTGGGGGTGGGCAGGGCATCCCCACTCAAAGGGCGAAGTGGCTAATCTGTCAGATAAAGCCTTGGCCTTTATAGCTTTTTCAAGGCACACTGGTGTTGGGTCTGCTGGCATATGGATGTGTTCTCACTGTAGCTGTTTTGCTGTTACTGCAGAAGTCTGGACTCTCGGGAGCAAGCCTGAGGAAGCGGTCACTTGTCTTCCTTGCCTAAGAGCTGGGGCTGTTATATATATGGACCTGCAAATCACCGCTTTATTGGGTTTTCACCTAACTGCTCTCATCAGCTGGCTCTTATTTCCCCCATGAAATCTTCAGTTAATTAAAGATCTTAAACTTTCAGAGCTGGAAGGAACCTAGTCCAGCACCCTCAGTGTACAAGTAGAAAAACAGTTGTGGCTGTGAGAAATTGTGGCTTTTCCAGGGGTTCCAAGCCAGGATACCAGTTTGATTTTTATTATATAGCTGAGTAATACCGTTACCTCGACTGGGGATTTCAAAGCATTCTATGACTCGACTGTTTAAGGGAATTGTAAGGCCTCACTGCACCTCAGTAGGTAATTCTAGGTGCCATCCTGATAGTTACAGACCAGCCGTGAATAAAAGACTTGGTTGGTGATGTCCTTCTGCGTTTGATTACACAAGTAATTGTGTGAATAGTCTCTCTAAGTTGTACACACTAGACTTTTTTTAGCGTAAAGATGAAAGTGCTGCTTTTGGGCCTGCTAGGTATCCGAGATTAGCTAATATGGGCCAGTTTGGGTTTTAACAAGGAAATGATGGTTATCTTAATGATGAAAAATGTGATGACAAAAGTCCTTTTTTTGAACATGTGTTCAAAAGCAAAAGAGAAACTGTCAAACTAATAACTCAGCTTGTTGAACATGGCAATTTACTGATCCGAGAGGCTTTTAAAAAGTGATTGCTCTGAGTCAGACTTGTGTATTTTGGAGGTTGGCTTTGGATCCCCCAGGGCACTTGGTTTCCATTGCTCCTGCTTTTTGCTCTTACGGTGAGAGCTCTATTTGCATAATGTTATAGCAACTTGTTGCAGCTTCAGCTGTTTGAAAAAGAAGGAAGATTTTGCCTCTGGGTTTCACGTGTTCTTTTGAGGATGAGATATTAATGTTGCATGTTCTCTTGAACATGCATTCTATCCCTGAGTGTTTCTGTATGACATGGTATAAGAAATACTTACCAGAGACCATCACTAACGATATGCTTTATAATGTCAAAGTGTCCTTCAGAAGTGACAGGATCTGTGATGGTGTTGATTCTAACGCATGAATCTTTCCTTTATTTTAGCACTGTGTTTTATGTGCCAGTAATTTGCAGTTTATCCTTTGTTTCTAGCTAGGTAAGCTGGGAACTAGCATAGTACTTTGTCTATATGTTTATCTTCAAAATGTCCCAAATAGCCCTGGGAAAAAGGTCGTGCAGCACAATGGGGGCTTTCAACTTACGATTTTCTTTGTTTTAGGCTCCATAAAAATACAGACTCACCAGTTCCTGCTTTGATGTGACATGTGACTCCCCAGAATACATCTTGCTTCTGTAGACCAGCTCCAACAGGATTCCATGGTAGCTGGAATGTTAGGGCTCAGGTAAGTAACCTTCCTTTTTTTTTTTTTAGTATATGTCCTGGTTTGGCCATCTGTTTTTAAAAAACAAAAATGAAAACAAGGAAAAAAAAGATATACTACTCTTGGACAGTATAAAAGTACCCCAAAGACAAAAGACATAACTGTGCCAA